ATTAAGTTAAAGTTTACTTAAAAAAAGTTACAAACCTAACACTTTAATGAAATGGTAAATATTATGGTATAAAGTGTAAATTAACTTAGATATAATTCGCCAGTACCTATAGAAGTTCCATCCATTTTCCACTTTTCACTTTGATGTGTTTAGGTGTTTTTAATATGTATTTATTTACAAAAGTTAATTTAAGTATGTCTATCAGTTACCTAAAAAACATAGTAACTAAAAACCACATAACGTTGTGTAAAAACATGTGTTTAAGGTGGTAGGACCACGCAGAATCCTCGGCTGTTGCATTGATTGGGCAGGCTCGTCCGGGTAAGTACCACAACCTCACAGAAGACCGGCGTAAAGAGGAAGTATAATACTTTCGCGTTTCGTCTGGTGAGTGAGGTAGACGGAGCCCCATTTCCAACCGTCTGCTCGCTTGGCAACTTTTCCCATAATAAAAATGTCGTGAAATAAGTACTTATTTTTAAAATTAGTATTAATTTCATGACATGCTACGCGGCCCCTAAACTTAGTCGGTACAGCGTCTGGGCGCGAAGTCAGGAGACGCAGGTTCGAATCCCGCAGCGCCGAGAGGTTTTGTTCAATTATCTGCAAAAATTTACAATTTAAAAGTTTCATGTTGAGTGCCAGAGACTAGAACTAAGAATATAAAATAATCCGAAAACTATTATCATCGATCGAATTCTACATATTTTAATGTTCAATCTTAAGTGCAAAGATTAGCACTATAAACAATTTAAATTTCTAAAAAAAGCAATGGCGACATCTCTCGTTCGAATTATCGTTGTAAAACGATATTCGAAATTGTTTGTATGCTGGAAAGGATATAACAATAAATGGCGCCAAGCATTGCTTCAAATGCTAAGAAAACAATGTAGAAGAATGCATTAAGATTTTCGTCGGTGTGGCAATCAGCCGTTTAGCTCAGTGGCTAGAGCGTCAGGCCGCGAATGCCGAAGACGTGGGTTCGATTCCCACAGCGGCGACAATCTTTTCGCACTTTTTCTACATATTTTAATGTTCAATCTTAAGTGCAAACATTAGCACTATAAACAATTTAAATTTCTAATCCGAAAACTACTTATTTATTTATTCATTCACGATCGACTAAATACAAATTAGCTCACATACTTAATGATAGACAAACTCGCACATTTAGATTATTATTGAATATCTGGCAGAACGCAAACGCTTGTTTTAGTTCTTATTGATTACTGAATGATTCGATTAAATAGCCGTTACCAGAATGATGAATGGCGGGTTTTAATAAACGGTTGCGTTTACCAACTTTGAATAGTATTGTTACTTTATGTTTTGATAATATTTCAATAATGACTGGCAAAGTTGTGACATACAAATCTCATTGAATTATTGTTTTTATTCGTAAAATTTACCTAAATAACAGTCGTTGAGGACTATGAATAATATAAATATGCAATATTTATTTATATCCAAATGCCATTTTTTCTAAATCTCGATAGTTATTATTGTATTAATTAAAAACAATATAATAATTGAATTACGAATATGTAAAGTTGTAACAATGTTGATACAACTTTGATAACATTCATCATTATTTCAGCCTGATAGAGTCACAGTAACAAGTCTATATATTTTAAGGTTTTCCGTTTATAAACCTTATGCAACTAAAAATGTATTGTGTAGTATAGTATGACTACTAAAATTCAAAAAAGCAAGTGGGCAAACAGATATTACGACCACTGAGCACCAAAGGCAATATAAAGCTTACTTTTAACTTATAGGACCAAGTGATTAGAGAGGTAACCGAAGACCACTCCTTTAAAGGAGCTTGGCAACGCATCTCCAATAGGTGGTTAAAAGGTGGCAACGTATCTGCAATCCTACGGGTGTTGCAAATGTCCATGGGCGGCAGTTATCGCTTAATATCAGGTGAACCGCTAGCTCGTTTGCCACTGTCTCACATAAAAAAATTGTCCTGTAAGTTACTATGTATACATAAATGGCCACCTATCTCAGAAGAATCTTCGACTTCTTTGAGAACACAGTACGCAACGCTGACTGAGAAGTTGGATGGCAAAAGACTGAGGGATCGATTCCCCATGCGTTAGTCAAACCAAATTCGCTCCGCATTAAATCACCGCATTCGAGGCAATTCACGCGGCTGAGGACACATCGACATTGTGTGACATAGTCCCACAGAAAATTCTCAGAGTTCACGACCCTCAGCATTGAGGATATTCAACGCACGGAGGAGAACATATTAAATTACTTCTACAGTAATATACTAAGATGTATATATAATAGTTTAAAGGCTGTCGAAATGGAGTATATGAACGGAAGATCCAATGACCGGTAACAGTCAATCTCGTATCTTTTCGTGGTTAATTTGGTTAAAAATAGTACATATGCAGTGCCCTAAAATTAAACAATATAAATTTAAATTGCAGTTTATTACCCTAGGTTTTAAGATATGTCATACTTAGAATGTACATAAATTTAATACTAAACAGAGTGAATTAGTACAGAATGAATGACACATGAGCCCAACAGAATTTAGATACTTCATATTTCTTCGAATTTTTTTTACTGTTTCTAATGTTTCTTAGAAATACAGGTTTCCTCACGGAGATTTTCCTTGCTGCTGACCATTTGATAATTCAAGTTTTAACCGATAATCAATATTAGAATGTCGCTTGTACCAGGATTTCAATTTTTACTACTCGAATATAATTACTGACTGAATTAAAAGCAAGCGGTCTGACATGAGCTACCTCCACATTTATATAATTTTCTTCTTAAATGTTAAATAGCTTTCTAAAAACCATTATATAATACTTTTAATCTACATTTACTTCAAAATTTGAAAGGATTTAGAAATTTAAATGAATATATAAAATATCAGATGTTAATACTATACGTTAGAAGTCTGTGAATAACAATTGCATTGTGGCGCAACAATCTCGTGAGAGCAAGCGACTAGCAATATCTCTAAATAGAGCGAGGAATATCACTTTTCGTATCATTGCTTAGTATACTAAATTTGGTCATAGGCATTTTCATCATGCTTGCAATCTGCACCTAAAATAATGTTTACATTTAATAATGAAAGATCCAGTAAACTTTTTCATGCAATGAATTTTCCGTTCTAAATTGTAACTCCGTATTTACCTAAAATTTAAAGTCCACTCTTATGGATATAATAATAAAACATGTATGTATTAATTAATGCGTGATGCAAAAACTTTGTACTCCTTTTCAAGAAAATTGCTCGAACGGAGGAGTATTAAAATAACCCTCATTTATAGTTTATATAGAGAAGGAGTGCAGAATACTAATATTTTTTAATTATGCATAAAAATACATTAAATTAAAAAAAACATTACACTACCATGTTTAATTAATTATGGTCAAACGACGCTTAGTAAAAGCAAATAATATATGTTTTGTTGTTTTGTCTTTTTACATGATTTCTTTTTATTTGACATAGCTGTGTGATTTTTTTTGTAGTACTTAAGTAGAAAAGTAGCAATTTAATGCAGCACATAAGGTAGCGTATTTTATATGACATGTAAAGTAGCAGAATTATTCACAATTTTATGACGCTTTTGGGCGAGGGACCTGCCCAGTACAACAGTGAAGACTGTTGCATGGCCTTACCATAAAAAATAAAAACAAAGAAATAGAAAAACTACAAATAGGGTTGGGGTTGCAGATCCGTTATTACTCACTACACGAAAAGCAGTGGCAAGGCACAACTTCAGTTGTCATCAACAAATATGGCGGAAAATTAGACGGAAACTGACAAGTTGGAAATCGCCTACTATTTTCGTTGCTACAACTGGTGATATTAATAAAATTACGTCAAACTAAAACCGTACTCCAAATTTATCTGAAACGCGCTCAGAAATCACTACACAGTGGAACCGTACAGAATGAAGTATTGAAATACCTGAAACCGACCAATTATTTGCTAACCTTTCTGTATTAATCATAGGAGTCAACCATCTGTGAAACAAAATGTTGTAACAAAGATATTCTATAATTTACTTATATAGGTAAAATTGATAGCCTATTCAAATTTCATAGCATATTTATGCAAAACTTAATTAACCTTTTGAAAATCTTGTGAAAGTATAGAGTTACTTCTAATATTTTTATGTACGTTGTGCTTTCGTTGTTTGTTTTAAAAAGAAAGTAATTTAAGTATTATAAAGTTCACACTTAGAAACATTTTACAACCAAAGTTAAAACATATTTTGAACCGACTTTAAATAAAACCGTTAAAATCTTTTAAGTTAAACGGTTCTATTTTCTGTTTTTTTTTTTGTGCACTGAAAACTACAATATTGTATTGTCATCTAAATTAAATGTGTGTATCAAATTTCAGATCAATCTGACAACGGGAAGGTGCTTAAATTTCAATTTCTAATTTTGACCCAAATAAACAAATAAATTCCGTACGTGTCGAGCTAAATAAAACCGTTTAAAAAGGAATAGGTTCTCAATTCGACCGTATTTTTTATGTTTGTTGACCTCAGAACTTTCAATTGAGTGTACCGATTTTGATGATTGAAGCTGATGGATCTTGCGCACGGGAGATACTCAGGGAACTCTTGAAAATCAATAATAAAATGAATACAGAACGAGATATTTGAAGTCATTTTTGTTTTTTGTCAAAAAAATGGACTTGTTGTAGTGTTTATACGCGTTTTATAACCAAATAATTTAAAAAAATACTGAATTATGATGATAGTAGATTATGGAATGATTTGTAGAAACGAATTGTATAAAGAAAGTCAAACCTTTTTTTAATGTCGTCATTAACTGTAAAACTTACCTTTTTACAGAAACCTACAAACGAATTATTCAAGAGTGCTTGCAGCCTGCTTGTGTGTATGGCTCATATGAAAATTGGAAGTTTGGGGGGAACCCAATTCGCGTCTCATGTCAGTGTGACAACACCATCGAGAAGCTTTACGCATGGGGTCGGTGACCCACTGCGTATGCTAACACTCAACGGTCAACCATTAAGGTCTTCGTACAGAAGCATAAGAAGTAAGTTAATTATAAGAGCTTAGATAAAATTTAATTTTTTTCTCGCATAATTCACCGCACTTTAAATTGAATGATAGATAATGCCTATAGATATTAAGTTAGCCTGTATATTTTGGTATACAATCAACAAGATTCAAAATCATTCAGATTAAATAATAAAACTATATAAGCATAATCTGCAATGAGTCAACCACGCAAGATAGTGTAGATGCATTGGCTTGAAAATCTAATGTCGATGATTCTACTTATTCCAGGTGAATAATTTTTTAACGTATATCATAATGGTGAGAAATAATAATGTTTTTTGTTTTGATCGATGAATTTATTAACAGGATAATTATAGACCATAATTAACCTTTTATCATATTGCTAGAGTAGAAAAAGTCATTAAGCATTTAACAAATAATCTCCTCTTATTTTTTTTAAATGGCCAACAATCAGATAGTTCACCTGTTACTCAGTGATTTGCGAGTCAGTTTTAAAATGAAACACGAAATCTCCAGATAAAATAATTGCTTTATATCCTCATGTTACTTCCGAGAAATTTACTTACCCGCTCTATGACTCTGAGTTACTTATATTACTTTTTTATGTCATTGTACTAGCAAAAAATGTCACCAACTTGTGTTTACAAACTTTTTAAATTAAATAACCTTTTATTTAATTTGTTTTGATTAGTTTTTAAAATGAAGCTTCAGTTTGAAAACTCCACTTATAATAATTTCCGTCGTCGATCGTGTTCCGAATTATTTTTTTAAATTTTTTCCAAGAATCAGAAGAAGAAGTAGAAACAAAAACAAAGTAAAACGCAACCACTAAAGCTTATGTTATATGCTTTTGTAATCTGGCTTAATATTAATTCATTATTCACATTATTACAGGACCAACAGGCGTCCAATTGGGGCATCCCGGATATCCGAAGTTAAAACCCGCGATACCTTTTCCATACGAAGACGTTGTACGAAATGCTTCACCGTTTCGGCAAAATAACCACTTTGGTAAGAATGAAAACGGTTAATGTGCCAATGACTTTTGCAGTCAAATGCGCTTGTATTAAAATCTTGCCCAATTTATAAACATTGCAAAAAGGCATCATAAGTAATAAGTACCACTAACAAAAATATGATCGTACCTCTTGTTTTATTTAGATTTAGTTATCATTTCATGAGTGGAACAATAAGTGTTTTTAATACGTCCCAATAGATTATAAGAGCTTACCTCATGCATGTCTATAACGCTACATACGGCATACTTACTACAGCTTTCAATGTTGTCAATTTACTAATACCCACCTCAATTTACTAATAAGTACTTCATTTAATCTATAAAATTTTTAAATAATTTTCTGCCACATAGTCTCTGCCTTGACTATGAGCACTATAGTGGTCATAACGTATGGAATTAAATATAAAAACAGATTAAACGAAATGAATTCTTCAAAACGTAAAACATGAGAAAAGGATGAAATACGAAAATTAGTTTAGTATAACTATATGAAATGTAAATAAGTTTGTATGGAACGCTAAGAGACTTGTTGTTATATTTTTTATTTAAGCTCTGATCACTTTAATTGAGGAAAAATCTAATTTTTAAAAGACATTAATTTTTTATTTGTATCCCTAAATTTAATATACTGTTTGTTTATATAGTGAAAAATAGTATATTTATTATGGTTATTAATTAAATATATGCCTAACTACTATCCTTACATAAATATTGGACATAAAACAACAAATGTTTTATAAATTAATAGTAGACTTAAAATTGACGTGGGACTTTGTTAGAAAGCTGTAATTAACTAATACATTTACTATGCCAATGTGCTTATTTTACACGACTGAAGTTTGTACACCGCCTAATGAATGTAAACATTTACATAAGAGAAGCTCCTAATAACTATAAATAAAATAAGCAGGCACTAAATAACGTAGTGTTTATTTTCATTACAGTTCAATTCTATTCAAAGTGAACATCATGGTTGAACTTAGATGGCAGTAACTTCGTTTTATAAAAAGAACTGAAGTAAGATGTTACATATTAACTTTTCAGGCATCAAGTTTGGTTTTAAATACTTCGTAGAATGTAATAAAGGTTTAACGATAATTCTGTAGAATTTTAATACAAATGCCAGTTCATAACTCTAGTAGTCCACTTACTAGTCAATAACTCTAGTCCCGGGCCCATAAAAGGGGACTAGAATTACTATAGTAAAATGCGACGTAAAGTGGATACTGGGTTTACAGTCTACCGAAGCGGGAGCCTTAATCGTCCATTGTAGTGGACCTGGTAGGGGCAGCAGTACGTGGTACAGTAAGTGAAATCGTACTGTCGCAAGACGAAGGTTTTTTGTTGGTTTGTTCTCTGAGGTGTGCTCATACGCAGTACTAAGGGTCACCGGTGCGCTCCGTAGGAGATCTCGGAGCCCTTACAAAAATACTGAAGGTCACCTAGGTGTTTTAATGATATACAATAAGTCACATGTACACGATGATACGTAGGAATTTTACAAAGATGCTGTGATAGGTAAATATGCTACGAATAAACCAAGAGTATAAAATCGCAATTGCTAAACTTGTAACAGACGAAAAAGCAAACCACTTATATCGATCTACAAAACTAAAAGGCTGGCAACGGTGCTTCCGTGTTGGGGAATACTTGTAAACAAAAAAGCTCGAACGAGTCACCACATAGATATCTGCCTAATATTAAATATTTCCACTTCCCAATTTTCTAACAACTCCAAACATTTGCGCATGTATGCTCGTCGGTAACAAATACTAATCAGTTACCTAGTGCTATTAGACCACCCGTACGTAACGAAAATTAAACAAAATGTAACAAACCTTTTGTAACTTCTACTAAATTATTCGTTTTGTCCAGATGTAGATATACCGGTGTTGCCACCATCACCATACAAAGTAAACTCACCCGATCCTGAGTCTCTATGGCCAGAGGGTTTGTTCGTGCCGCCCCGGAACCCTCCCCGCTTCGAATCCCGGACGGTAGACACCAGTAAGGTTTTGTCAAAAACTTTCACTCTCTAATAACTAAAAACATTTCACTTCTTCTTTTTTATCTTCGTATATAAAGACACTAGCTACCCGCCCCGACTTCGCATGGTTGCAATGTATTATAAATATAAACTTTCCTCTTGAACCACTCTATCTAGTAAAAAAAAACCGCATCAAGATCCGTTGCGCAGTTTTTAAGATCTAAACATAAATAGGGACAGACAGACTGTGGGACGACTTTGTTTTATACTATGTAGTAATTTCTAAGATTTTTCAGACATACATATTTCTCTCTTCTATTTCTTTCGATTTTAATCTCTTCTAACCATCACAATACCCATTTTCAATTTCAATTTTTTTTTCTCAGGACAAACAGTCCAACATAATTTATCCTGCGGGAGCAATATGTACGCTATGTTGATCCAACAATGTGTATGTATTGACAAAGCAATACAGAAAACTCTTAAATTCTTAAGGGCAAATCACTCCAAACGTAGTAGTAACTTGTCGGCGTTGGCACACGATGGTGTAAACTCACAATAGATGTCAAATTAACAGTTTTCTTTTTTTAACTTTTTATGCTAGTTTCATTACAGTCCGGTAAGTACCACCTTATAGAAGACCGGCGTGAAGTGGTAGTATAACAAGCAGTCGACAACATCAACGCTCGAATCAACATCTTATATACTGTTTGCTTGCTTGGCGTTATCTAATATGATTTCCCTTACAGAAATTTATACTTTCTCAATGGTATAAATTTCTGTAAGGGAAATTTTCAATCTTTCTCAAAGGTGAGTCGATAGGTTTGAAAAGGATTAAAAATTGAAGAATACTTTAATGTCATTAAATTTACGAAACGACTATGTTTTGCTTAGTTTGGGATCCATTGCCAAAAATAAAATTTTAAAAAGGGATAACAAGTTAACAGCACATTGTCCTGGTAAATATAACAAATTTCATTGATAGAATGGTTTGACAGAATAAAAGATAGTCGTTAAATAGAATGAAACATTCTAATCATCAACACGAGAAAGAAACACCAGAAAAATGTATAGTTACCGATTTACCATTTAATTAATGGCTTCCTTATATAAAATATTAAGCATTAGTGCTAATAACTGAGATGTACGTTTATTTATTTGGGCTTTGTTGGAACGAAGTTCTTTAACGTGCGATATCAGTTGGTGGAAATCGTCACGTAAGAAAATATGATTTCTTCCATTATACGCTCAGTGATTATTTGTCTCTTTCTAACACACGATAGCTAATTCAGCACCTGAGCGGCGCTCAGTTCATTCTATTTAGTTTTCGTTTATAACATATAATTTACTTTACGTAAACTTTTCATAAAATCAATATTTTATTTATAAAGTTAAATTATCTTTTTTTTTTTATTGGTTTCCTTATCCTTAACCTCCTATTATTGGCATCGAAAAAAAAACTGGAAATAAAAACTAAATATAAGCTTTTTAGTAATAATATTTATATCAATTGCTATTATTGTCTACTCTACACTTAAGATGAAACTTAATATGCGAGTTTTTGTAGATAAGTGAACGAAAACTTTCAGCACTGCGGGGATCGAACCTGCGTCTTCTGTGAAACGCGGCCAGACGCTTAACGGCTGAAGACCTCACGGCGTGAAAATCTAGACATCTACCTACGCATATTTAGCAATGCTTGACACCACTAAGTGTGCAAAATTTACAGTATGAAACAGTTTAAAAAGAGCATTTAACGACTGAAGATTTGGAATAAGATGTGTTTCCTTTCTCTAAGCTAGTCTCTACATTCAATATGAAACTTAAAATGTGAATTTTTGTAGATAAATGAACGAAAACTTTTAGCGCTACGGGGATCGATTCAGCGTATTCTGGGTGATACGCCCAGGCGCTTTACCAATTAAGCTAAGCCACCGATGACCTCACGGCGCGAAAATCTCGACATCTATCTACGTTCGATCCAGCGCTGAAAATTTTTGTTCATTTATTTACAATCATTCGCATATTAAATTAAGCTTAAAGTCAAGAACACCTTTTCTGACTTAAAAAAGACATCAACGCGTGACATGAAAAAATGCCTCTACTAACTGTTAAACACCAACTAGAGGCGCACCAAATGTTCGGCCGACTTTTCGTATTCGGTTGAGGCCATAATCGACGTAGTTCTTTTTAAAACTTTTATAACTTCCGATTGTCCGGATAGACTTAAAGTGAAGCCAACGCAATTATATCTATGGGGCAACGAGAAGGCTGAATACTCTCAGCCGACATATTATTGGCCCTTCCGATATACATATAGAAATTGTGTGCAACCCAGTTTGTCAGTCACAGGGCATGTGACTGACAAACTGGGTTGCATTTATGCTTTGCGTGGGTGCAATGCTAATACGTATTAATTTAAAAGCTTCATTCTTAAAATTTTGATCGTAATATTGTTCCTCTGGTATATTTGAAATTAATAGTAAAAATTGGAGCAAAAAGCTCAATACTAAAGTCGAATATGGTTGGGCAACGCAGCAGCTTTTGCTGTTGCGAATGGGTACGCTTGTCTGAGGAAGTGCCACGGCCTCACAGAAGGCCGGCCTAAGGTGAAACTATTACACTTCCGCGAGTAAAGTAGCTGAGGTCCACTTAAGCTGATGGCAAAGCATCTGCTACATGTCTGGTGTTTTAGATGTGCCTGGGCGGCGGTAATCACTCAACATGTAATGAACCGCTTGCACGGTTACCAACTTTTCACATAAAAATAATTAAAAACACCTGACTAATATTCAACTTGATATATATAAACATTTTAATTGTTACAGATACTTTCATCGACCCGTACCTTCTAGAAGGTTCGGAAGCCGTTGCAGCGGTGAGACGGGCTGCCCATCATGGACAGTTCTTTTTTCATGACATACCACACATAGAGTCATTACTAGCAAACCAGGATCTTAGACTAAAGAATAATCTGGAGCCCCACAGGATTGGAAGTATCCGTCACAACTGGCCATATAACCGACCATAGATCAATAATAGAATAAACGACACTCAAAAAATCAAACAATATGAATGAAGATTACAAACTGTATTTAAATTGTACAAATAATTATTACCAGTCATACATTTGAAACAATAAAAGCTTATGTTACCTCTATTGTTTTTTCTTTTATTTAATATTACAATTTATATATTTATAATTACAAACAACAAATGTATATAATGAAATAAAAATTAATAATGACTATTTCGTCAGATTTTTAACAGATTTATTCTTAGAAACTTCTTTTCTGAATAAAACTTTTCTTTTGGCAATCAATAAGTTATAGTTTTTTTATTGTAAACTTTTTAAACAAACTGCTTAATTTAAAATCCAATGTAAATAGTTTAGTATAGATTTGAGCATTTGCATACTACTAATTCTAAGCAATGTAGTAAATAACCTATTCTATATTTATAATGATATAAAAGTATACATATAAACCTACATATAAACCTTTACAACACTCTGGCAGTGAAATAAGTCTTATTTACAGACTAAAGCTACATTTGTTAATTTTCTTGTAAATATCACAATGCCGGACGGATAAAGATTAAAAAGTGAAATCAAAATGGAATGAATCATTTAAATGTAATAAAATGTAGACTTGTAAATGTAAATTTATAGGATTATTAAGTCGTTTTTTTTTTTAATTAAAAATAATTATTTGTGATTTTAAAAATGCTATGCAATGAGATTCCAATTGAAACTCAAATTATCACATCTAAAACATTGTATAAGGGCTATAAATACCAAAAGTTATAAAAAGCCAATAAAATGGATATCAAAACAGTTGCGGGGAATTTAGATATTTTAAATGCCGAATTACACAGGTCACCATTGCAGAAACACATATAAACTTTCCTATGTCCCCACATTGTATAAGCGCACCTTTCTTGATAATCACTAGGTGGCCGTTGCAAACACATTCTTTCAGTTGCTGCTCCATAATCTGTAAACACAAAAAAGTTTAAAAAAATTAACTTAGAGCTATCAAATAGTTTATTTATATGATAATGTATTTTCAATACTGAAAAGTAACCAAAGAGAATTTAATTGAACAATTAATTCAAATAGTAGCAATAGTTTAATTGCTAAATTTTAGAAAAAATTTCCCATATCTTTGAAATATTTTTGTAGTAAGATTATTGATTATTGGTGAAATTTTATTTCATTTTTTCTTAGAATTATCTACATAAAAACTATTATTTTTTATTTACATCAATTGCTAAAAGGTAGTGGTCAGTAAAAAAGCTGAAATTTGAAAACAAATTAAAAAAAACATTATTTCCAGTGCTTCTTACTTATTTCACTACAAATATTAAAACTATTACATATATAATACAAACCATCATTTTTAATAGCATTAATGTTGCCCTCATAAGACTTGCCACACCAGCCTGATGGGCATGCAACCACATGGATACCCATTTCTACTTCCGGCTCAGTCACATTGAAAGGGAATGGATCACCACATGAGCCTAGTTCCCCTCTTGATCTGCATCTGATGCATCTTTTATTTAAACCTGTAAAAGCAGATACTTATTTTTAGAGGTTTAGTACATTTTTCAATTTTTTTAAAAATCTGATCTTTTCAAGGATACAGAAAGAAAACAAAGCACAAGGTAAAATAGAGGACTACAATTAAGCTTAAATGGTAGGACCCTGCTTAAAACTGTGTGATTTAGATGTTAAATTTTATAATTGTTTCATAATGATTAATAACCACTTAAATTAAAACTCATAAATTGTCATATTGTATAACCCTTAATAACTATTTGACTCAATATCATTAGCTACAATAAGTACCACTAACTTATATTGACAAACTGTTGCCAAATCACCTTATATTTATACAGCATGGATGAAAACTGAGACTGCTGTCAAACTGAGGGTATAAATTAAGTACAATAGAGGTGTAACATAAATAAATACTAGAATATTTTAGGATTTAGAATGACACATTATTTTGATTATACATTGAACATAATTAAAAAAAAGATTGATTTCCATTACTGCTGCTAATGCATGTTTTTATTTTCTTACTTATGCTTTATTTCCCATTGACATTCTCAATCAGTCAACTTGGCATATTTTACTCCTAAATCAGTTTTTTAGATCAACCTATACATATTTTGTTTATTTTAGAGTATTAACACATATAAGTATTTAATTTAAAATTAGAGAAAGTGATAACTCATTTACCTACAAAGTATATGTTGACATATAAGCAGTAACAATAACTAATTAACAGTTCATGCATATTTATATCATTAAATTATAAAATTTCTGAAGATTAAAAACACACGATTATCTATTATTTAAACAAAGGGGACAATAATGCCAATAACATTATAAAGAACACCTCTTAAACATACGAGACTATAGGATAACTTAATCGTAACTTACTTTTGTCCAAAATCAAACTCTCACTTTACCTTGACAAGTACATCCGTATTAATATAAATTTACACAGTGAAAACTTACATTTGGCTTCTTGTATCAGAACTCCTACTAACAGATATATAAGAATAGTTTTGTAATTCATTTTGTTTCTGATTAATTGTAGTAATATTCTACAATATGTGAACATCAACTCTTTAAACTTTTCATCTTTTATTTACATGCACTTAGTAATCACTTAGACACTTAAGTTACTACAGAGACTTAAGGCGACGTCTGACACTTATGTTGTCAGCGAATAAAGAGTACATTGCCAGTGGAAAGTTGTGGTTTTCTGCGGTTTGCATAGATTCCGTTATGCTCGTTATGATAATTATTAATTGCATTTATGTTGGTTTGTAAGCAGTAATAAGTAATCATTTCTTCATTAACACAAGAGTACATGAACATCATGTATTGATGGTTACAAAGTTGTATTTAATTTAAGTTATTTATTTGTTATTTCGTAAAAAATTTACAATAGCAGGCGTTAAATTGAAATAATAAGCTTTTACCTGTGGCGCTTTTTTATTTAGAGCCTCTGGAATCTAGCGCAATGGATCAGCGAAAGATGTCCTTTGGTGCCAAGCAACACATATCCCAGCACAATAACATGATATTGTTAGAGATAATACAAATCCAAGATAAATAGAGTACTTGAAAAATTCTGTATACGTATAAAAAAATCATAAAAAGCGCGTGAGTCAGAAAGCAAGCTTGGGTAATCATTAATTTTTCATTTAATTAATATACCTTCATTCAACAATTTTGATTTGGAAACCACAATTACTTGGTATGTTTGAAAAGGCTTTCCATCTACATAGCATGTGTAAATATCTTCTTCCTTTTTAGTCGCTTTTAAAATATATAATGAATTGTAAGCATCTATTGTTAAATGAGGTTCATTTTCTGTTTCAGCCATGTTATTTCTATAATTCACAAGCGAATAAATCCGCGCACCAAATTTTTTTAAATTTAATCAAAGGGTTTATTTGTTAAAACACGATATAAAAGATAAAATATTTTTATTACCTGAATGAGGAATTAAGTCTTTCATTGTTTTTATACCATTGAACGTTAGAATCCATTGTTATTTCGGGACAGTTAAGAGTCAAGTGACTGTTTTCGGCCACTATTTTTCGAACTTTGTTTTTTAGAAAGTAATTGTCTACAGTTGTGTTTCCATCTGAAATCATCAATGAGTCAAATCATTATAACAAAAGACTTCCTTTATTGAAATTTTGCAAAAATAATAAACAAGATGTCTAAAATTCCGTAATCAATACTAGACATACGTTTGTAATAGCAATGGTTGAGATCAGTGTCGTTTAGAAGAACTCTTATAAATATGTAATATTATTACGTTACTGCCTTGAGCTTATGTATTTACTCATTTACCGTTTTGTGGCGATGTTTCATTTGTTAGCTTAATATATGGCAGCAAGTGATAGCCATCACTTAAATATATTAAATCATCATCTGTGTTGTAATCAGTATTAGACAGAGTTCTCTGAAAAACAAGCATATTAATCATGAATAATATATACCCATTTCTTCCGCTTCCCTGTGGTGAAGAACATCAATGTCGAGCCACTACGTTTTTCAAATGATTAAAAGGAAATACTGTTTAAATAGTGAGTAAGCTGGGAGTAAACAGATGCGTAGCTAGAGGTGAGCATGTATAAATTGGTAAAACAATATAATTATGTTAAAGATTGTTTTAATATATAGCCAACATTTATACGATCTTTAACTACACATATAGTAAAGAAGAACTATAAAGATGTTACCAAACGGTTCTTTGAAAGAGCCGACGATTACCCAAACGCTCGTATGGTATTACTCAGTCTCGGATTTTTCCATTCACGCACATTTAAAATATTCGTTCTGTAGACAATATTTGTCCAGTAGTGGGAATCGAACCTTCGCCCTCTGCCGAGAGAGGGTCCTGGCTCTAGGGTCTCTATTCAATACGCCAATCGATAAAACGGGTGAATTATATAAACGTGATCGAAGGCTACCTTCGATATCGGTATAGAATTCATTAAGTCGACAATCGTCGTTTGTAAAAATATGGTTTTCAAAATAATTAGAATATATCATAGCCATATAAGATTATGATGGAATAACTATATACTAGATTACATATTAGATTACGTCAAGATGAAACCGGGGGGGGCAAAAACTAAATTTTTCGGAGATGAAATCAAATAGATCTATATTTTATCAGAGACCTCTTTACCTTTTTTATTTTGTGATATCCATCAGAGTATTCGTAATCCAAAAGTATTTTTCTGTTCCCGAAAGGAAATGTAATATTAGATTTGTTAAGAATTACCATCCTAAACCGTGATTGATTTAAACTTTTTAAAAATTTTAACTGGGCTAGACTACGCAATGTTGTATTTTGTGAGACACTGCTTTTTTTCAAGCCTGAAAAGAAAATTAAATAAATAAATAAATAAAATGGCGAATGCCGAAGACGGGTTCGATTCCCACAGCGGCGACAATCTTTTCATACTTTTTCTACAAATTTTAATGTTAATTCTTAAGTGCAGAGATTAGCACTATAAAAAATTTAAAAGAACTTACCTTCTAATACGAAAATTATTACATCTTTATCATTCATAAGTATGCATGAGAAGATATCAACATGTTTTTTAATATTTCTGTTATATGTCTTCCAGTGACTTATACGAAAACAACCGCAGAGAATCAATTTAAAAACTTTGCCGGAAACAGGTCCTTTTCCTTCACAATCAAAAATTGTACTTTTGTTTTTAATAATTTTGCTGTAAAATATTAAAAATATATAAATATACAGCGTGTCTTTACAAAAGCGACAATAAATGAACACACATATAGGGGATAACTTTTTAAAATTGTATTAAACATTTACATTCTTTAAACATCAATATTTACAGAGTTATTAAATTTTCCAAAACATAGAATTTTAGAACACCCTTACGTATAACACTATAACGTAAAGTTCATTTGTAAAGGTCACAAAGCATATGAATGGATTGAATCAATTTAAAAGAGACAAAACATACTGTTCGAAGGAGAGGCTTGTAATGCGACGCTGTGGCGCGAGTTTTATAGGTGTTACAAATTTTGTTTCTCTTTTACTTAATTATTTTGTTTGAAAAATATTTTTTTTTAATTATGGATTTTGTTTAACGTTAATATTTTTTATCATTATTGGCAAGTAGCGTAAGACGTGTGTTCATTTATTGTAGCGATGGTAACGACACGCTGTATATAATACGATGAGGTAATGGCCCGTCAAGCGATTCTATATACGATTCTATATACACTTCAATATTTTCACTTTAATATAGAAGGGGCGGGTTCACCATAATGCAATGAGACTTGTAATAAATTATCGTTCCTCCGCCTGGGTGGTTCGGTCTTCGGACGCTCGTTGCATACAATTTTTTTACATAGTATAATACAAAGTCGTCCCGCAGTCTGTCTGTCCCTATGTATGCTTAGATCTTAAAAACTACGGAACGGATCTTGGTGCGGTTTCTTTACTAGATAGAGTGATTTAAGAGGAATGTTTATGTTTGTATAATACATTGCACCCTTGCGAGGCGGGTTCGGTTCGCTAGTGATTTTATAAATAGTGACTCGCGTGTTCCACATGCTTGAGACATATTGCATGCATTTGGACTTGCATTTGCACAGTGAGGAACTCATTAATTTCATCTCTAATACTATTATTATACAAACTACGAATATTATTAAGAGCGATCATTAAAGCAGACGACAGACAGCGAGTGGTGCTTTCGAAGTTACACAAAATTCTTCTTCCCCTTATAGGTAAATCTTTACAGTTAGTTTTCGCGGTGGCAGGGCCACGCAACACTGTTGCACGAATGGACAGGTCCGTCCGGGTAAGTACCACGACCTCAGAGAAGACCGGCGTAAAATAGAAGTGTTGCACTTCTGCGTTTCGTCTGGTGAGTGAGGCAGCCGGGGTCCACATTATTAAGCGGGGTCCACATTATGCAAATGTCCATGTTTGTCACTTCCTGGCATAAAAAAAGCTAATGTGTTTTAAGTAAGCTTTAATACCCCATCTTCCTAGCTTCGTTATAGGTAGCTATTACTTGCGGCTTTGCCCTCGTTGTCAAGGAAAAAAATATATGTCAATAAGTTGTGTATCACTATTAATAGGTACTACACAATTCAAGAGCATGATAAATGCATCACTGAAAATGTTTATTATATAAAGGGAAACCAAAGAACTGCGGACCTAACACACACCGATTCGGACACAAATCAGAGCATTTTACGTTGGTTACTATATAGCGTTTATGTCGTTATACTCTGGTAAACGACATTTGACTATAATTATAATAACGAGATCAGTCGTATTATAACATTATCATTTTGAGTGTCACATTGCTTTATTTTTTTTTATTTTATCTATATGTATATTTTAGTGAAGGCTAAAAAGTGGTATCTTATGGAAGATTATAGAAACTTCGCTGCAATACATCAATGCTGCCAAGTAAATGTAGCAATCGTACACTAGTCTTAAACAAGTCATTTTTTTTAATAATGAAAAACAAAACAGACTTCAAATAACTCGCTCTGCAATCATTTTATCATTGACTTTCAGGACTTCACTGCGTATCTCCGGAATGCCAGTTCAAAAGGTTATTCCCCATTGAACCTAATTTTGTAATAGAGAGTGTTCTTTTTCTTTGAGGAACTTGACGGAGTATGAAGCTGCTCCAATTTCAGTAAAAATAGTGCAAAGGGTATGCTGCTGCGACCAAACAGAAACGGTCGAACAAAAAGGCTGTCGAAGCACTCAAAAGAAAGCTCCACAATTTGCGCAACATACAGATAATTATAATGATTTTACTGTCTGTCGACTTCCGCCAAACTCTACAGTTATTCAAAAAGGGACACAGACCTGCAGACAAGATTAAAGCACGCCACAAATCATCAACTCTTCGGGGATGCGTAATCAAATTCGCTTGGTATATATAAGTGTATTTGTACAAATCCTTGTATCCAATAAGTGCAAATGTACAAATATGCTAAAAGTCGTTTTTGCCATTAGATTGAATACAAGAAATACTGTACAAAATCACGTCTGTCGGTATTTTTTTGGCCAGGCATTGGCTCCTCGTTTGTTTCTTTCCACGCGGGATTGCAGGTAAAAGTGACAAAGAAATCAGGTCTACTATAAATGCGTATAGGCGAATGCGTGTATTCACGCAAGTAGCGGAAAAAAACCTTTGGGCGAGAAAAGAAACAGCTCTCTTGTCACCAGCCGCAGCGTTAAGCCTAGGACATGAACTTTTAAAAAATTGTATGAGCTATTGATTAAAAAAAAGTCATATTCATAATTACCAAACCTGACGTAGAGGAATATTCATAACTCCAAGTTCGGGATTTTGTATTTTAATTTCTAACCTATTATTTTTATCTGTAAAAAACATAATTTTTTTAGAGAAAGTAACAGAAAAGTTTAGACTTATTAAAATAAAATATTGCGTTATTGTCATTTTGAGTATGACATTGCTTTATTTTTTTTTTATTTAATCTATATTTTAGTGAACGCTGAGAAGTGGTATCTTATGGAAAACTATAGAAACTTCGCTACAATATATCAAGGCTGCCAAGTAAACGTAGTGATTACATTCTCTTTGAGTAAATGTAGCAATCGTACGCCAGTCTTAAACATGTCAATTTTTTTATTAACGGAAAACATAACAGACTTCAAAGATCTCGCTCTTCATTCATTTTATCATTGATTTTCAGGCGTTCCCTCCGTAACTCTGGAGCCCAAGATCCAATACCAAGCACCAGCTTTCAAATAATATAAGAATCATCAAAATCGGTTCACTCAATCGAAAGTTCTGAGGTAACAAACATAAAAAAATACAGTGGAATTGAGAATCTCCTCCGTTTTTGAAGTCGGTTGAAGAATCGTACGCTCAGGGAATAAATTAAAAGAAAATCTTTCATTTATTTAAGCTTCATTTTTTTATTTATATGTAGGACTTAGGTACTGCAAAGCTTAAGGTTGGAACTTTTCACATCATTATTCAAAGGTTGTATCTTTCCGCTTAGCTTAAAATTTGTGTAGTTTCTGTCGCTGTTTTTAATATAGTTAATGCTTTGCTGCTTACGTCCCTAATAATATTTCATATGATAAACTATTTCGATTGCATTTTAATGAAAATAACTTCACTGCCCTTTCGCAATCAGCACTCTAGTCAATAATAAATTTAATTGGAAAATATTTTTATTTCTGAAATAAAATATTTAAAAAATGCGATGTATCCGTAAAACTAGTTTCTTTGAGAATATGTAATCGTAAGTACAAGAAGTTATCATCTTCAAGATTAATAACTCGTAGAACTGACATCATTACTGGCTGCAATGAAGATATTCCACGCCTGTAAGTCTTTAATACCTGTAAGTCAGTAATACAGCATAAACTGACTTTTTAATAATTAAGGTCATGGAGTTTAAAAAATATAAAGAAATGAATTTGTTTAGATCCCCAAATTTAGCGAAAAACACGCTATCTTTTTGGTTCGGCTAATTTCGGTTCGTTTCGGTTTATAAGCACTTTTTTTTGTTTTATCTCAATTCAAAAATTTATGTTCTTTTTTTATTTTAATAAAATCGCGCTTCTTCGTGACTTCTATGCAGCTTCTATGTTACTGGTATTGTTGACTATATATTCCGTAACGTTACAGTTGTAAATGTTTGTGCATATCACAAATCATTATACTTCCTTTATTTGTTTGCATTAAAAAGCCAACCTCGTGAAAACCACTAGCCCTGAACCCACACTCTCAAAAATTAAACGTTCTCACAAATGCCGTTGACTGCCTTTGACTGGCGTTGGAAAGCAAAAATATGTAGGAAAAGGAAAACCCGTCTATGATCTATAAAAAAAATTTAAGAAAGAGTTTTACCCACATGTTTCTAGGAACCTAGTTCCAACCTACTTAATCAGATTGTTGTCTTCATAATGTTATGAAAAAGCATTTGATGTAATTAGGCGATTTTAACATCAACTGTATTAATTCAGATAACAAAAACAATGGGAATTGATTCATCATTATCACAATATCAATGATATAGTTTCAATGATCACACTTTTGCTCTTATGCGCATTCGTATTTTTGTAGAACCCCCAAAACCGTCGATGAAGGAAAAATACAATCTAACTCATATAAATAGCGGCCTTGCAGTACTTTATCAATTGTGTAATTATTCAGCTCTTCTGTTTTTCAAGCATTACCGCCATTCAGGTAAACTATTGTTCCTTTGTTGTATACATTTTTGCGGACAGTTTTATCAGTTAAAATCGGATATGAGATACTCCTTGATACTTCGTAATATGCATACACATAGATATAGGAGTATCGAAGCTGGTGCAAAACAATTCAAGTTTAAATTGGGTTCGAACGCTTTAAGTGCTGACTTATCACGTGCTCAGCGGTAAAGGAAAACATCGTGAAGAAACCTGCATGTTTTCGAAATAATAACTAAAAAAATATTTCGAAGATATGTGTAAGTCCGCCAATCCGCAGCGGGGCCGCGTCCTTGGTAATGAGGAGGCCTTTGCTCAGGTATGGGATATATACAGGCTGTTACTTTACTTACACCAATTGGCGTAATTTGATTGCATCGTATTTATAATATCATTGGAAAAAAGACATTAAATGCATTTTTTTAATTATTATTATCATACACTTTATTGATTTAATATTTACAAGAGAATTACCATAGCTGCAGCCGCAGGACTTGAAGAAAACCAATTCTTAAAATATAAATTTAATAAAAAACGAAAAATTACAATAATTCTACAACTAAACTAAACGAAAGTGATTATCTTGGTCGAAGTGGGACCGAAGAATAATGAATTCCGATTCCGATTCCGTCTGTAAGTAGGTTGGATATTTGGAACTACGTGATTCTTGCAAGGACGTCGGGCCTGCTGACTCGGTGCTTCGTGGCATGCGGCTCCGCCGTGTGCGTCTTTAAGTAGGTTACGCGGCTCCGCCGTGTGCGTTTTTAAGTAGGCGACACACTTTTAAGTAGGTTTACGTAATTAGAGTTAATCTATCTAAAATTACATATTATCTAATAAATCTAATCCACGCGACATGGTGCCAAGAACGCTAGCTGCATTTCCCCGCTGAATAGTTATGCTTAACCTTTGAGCGAGAAAAGAACCAACTCTCTTGTCACCAGCCGCGGCGTTAAGCTTAGTCTTAAATGCAATTGATAATGGTTGGAACTTGGAATTTAAAGTGAATGACAAAAAGTTTTTATTGGTTGGCATGGTAACACCACGAAGGTGTCGCGCATCATAAAAATTCATTCTCTTATTTCCCAAACGTGCCAAAAGAATTATGACTTCAAAATTTAATCCAGTGATTCTCAACCTTTTTTTTGTTGCGGCACATATTTAACGATTTCAAAATTTGGCGGCACACAAAAAAAAAGATAAAAATTATTTACTTACTACAACACACTGCATAAATAGTTTATGACAAAAATTTTAAATATACGAAATAAACTGATATATACTACAATAATAACTAAACGTTTATTAAGGGATTAATTACAAGTTAATAATAAAAATATTTTTAATGCGAAATTTGAGCTTGATGTTTTTTGATAATTTCATTTATATTTGGTCGTAAAAATGACAATGCTACTCTTATATAGTCTTCTACATTTAACAATCTTGATCTTTTTTTAGTTTTAATGTTGGATATTGCCAAAAAATATTTTTCTTTTTAAATGATATAATTTAATAATATTAACATTATTATATATTTGCAAAATCTGACGGCACACTTTTGAAATTTGGCGGCACTCAAAAGTGCCGCGGCACAGTGGTTGAGAATCACTGATTTAATCATTAAGTCAAAATTTTGGAAAATAAGCTCAGAATTATAACACACAAATTAAACAAAATACAACTACAAAAAAAATTGTTTTCGTTAAAACCAAAAATTATCGCAATGTAGATTATAGAAGTTGTTGTAAACCAGAGACACTAATATTGTCTTTAGGCAGACTTGGCGCTCTCATCTTTAAAATTGAAACAAATTTACGACGTCAATATGGCGGATAAATGGGAAAGTAAGTTTGTTTATATTTCTATCAAATACAATTTTAAATAGTACGTTTATAGAAATAGTTGAACATAAATACTCTTTAAAAAAAATCCAAATAAGATCTCTTTTTATAATAGCTATTGATCTAAGTATTTTATCTGTAAAGTATGGAATATATTTTGATTCCAATGGTTCAAAATTTGAAAAATTTTAAATTTTCGATCGTCTTGACATAGGCCACTATGTAAATAATGTTCAAAATATTATTTCTAATAGTTTCTTTTATCTAACTAAAGTGTTTATCGTATCAATAAATGTAAAAATAAAAAAGGGCAATCTGAAAAGTATGAATTCTTTTATCTTCAAGGTCCAGATGACGGAAAAAACTCAACAAAATTACAATTTAAAATTAAGAATGAGCCAATGGATTCAGACCTACCGGAGGAAGATGATGTTCCCCCAGCCTTCGGACCTGCCGCACTTGGACTTCATAGAGTCGGCACGAAATTACCGCCAAAACCTGCGCCTAGCGAACCCGTACAAAAACTGAACGCAAGAGGTATGCCCGCTCGTATTAGAAAGAAAAACAGATTTATATTTGTTGATGACTTCGTAAACACATCACCACCTCGGCAATCGCCAAAACGAACTCCCAAAGCTTTGGCTAAAACTCCCAATAAGCCATCCAGTGCTAAGAAACAAAAGTCACCTATAAAAGCACAGAAAACCATTGAAAAATATGAAGAAAAACCTGCGACGCCTGGTAATCAGTCTCCAGACCGTAAAAGTGGTCATAGAATCGGTATGAGATTAAGAAATTTGTTAAAATTACCTAAGGCACATAAATGGGTGTGTTTTGAATATTTTTATAGCAACATAGACAAAGCGTTGTTTGATGGGGAAAATGATTTTATGATTTGCCTCAAAGAATCTTTTCCACAACTGACGAACCGTAGATTGACCCAGGTGCAATGGGCAAAAATTAGACGAATGATGGGTAAGCCTAGAAGATGTTCTCAAGCCTTTTTTGCAGAAGAGCGTAAAGAGCTTGAAAGAAAAAGGAAATTAATAAGATATATACAACAAAGGAAGACAGCAGATATATGTGTTAAGGATTTGCCAAATGAAATTCCAATGCAGTTAGTAGTTGGCACTAAAGTAACTGCAAGGTTACGTAAACCACAAGATGGACTGTTTACTGGTTGCATTGATGCTGTAGATACATCAAATAATACATACAGGATAACATTCGAGAGACCTAAATTAGGAACACATTCTGTTCCTGATTATGAAGTCTTATCTAATGAACCACCTGAGACAATAAATCTCTCATCTGTAACACAGAAATTTAGACCTCGCTATGTCATGCAAGAAATTTTCAATTTGTATCAACCCTCAGCACCGAGCAGTAATACTAGCCAAGGTGATCCAATGATTGGATGTGGTGAAATCTCTAAACACATGGACTCTAATATTGGAAGTTTTCCTTTTGCTCTACTTGAGCTGATTGTGAAGTTAGCTAAAATATTACAAGCGAAAAGAAATAAAATAAATAGGTTAAAAGAATATAATAGTGAAGCAGAAAAAAGGAAACCATTCGGCCAAAAACTACCTGAAGATTTTGAAAGGAAATATGCTGCAGTTGTAATTGATTTGGAGAGAATGAATATGGACTTGCAAGAGTATATAAATCAGGTTCAGCAGTATTGTCAGCAAATTGCACCAGGCCCAAGTCTGGCTGCTATGCTAGCTCCATCTCATCTAAGAGAAAAATGTAGAGAGGAAGCAGCAATACTAGTTGAAAAAAATAATAATGGTTCATTGAAGGATGCTTATATTATTGACCTTGTCACAGATTTAACTGCTTTAATGTTACAAGTGAAAAGTTTATCTGATTCTGATCAAAATGCTTATGAACTAAGTGTTTTACAAGGTACTATGGATCAAATTAAAATGAAGCTGGAACCTCAGCATCGAAGGTTATTTCAAAATAATGTTGAGATCCATATGCAAAGAATTCAAATGGGCTTGGGTCAAATGTCATCTGTTAGTTATGTTGCTGGCACATAACTTTTGTCCACTTTGTGTTTAATAAATTATATTTGTTATTACTTCATGAATTTATAGAGAACTATATGGAACTATTTGTTTGTACAATGTAAATAGTTTATAATTTTAATGATTCAAAATTGTAAATAATAATTTTGTTTGAACATGTTTTGTTTTGTAAATGGCATTTAATCTTTGCCACTTTGCTTGCAGCAATTTAATATGTAAGAATATATATTAGAAAAGTTAGTATAAATGTTATGTGTTATAATGTACTATATACTCAGTAGATATTTGACAGTACTAAGTGTTTATATCTATAGCAATAAATTGTGAAAAAGTGATTCTTCTTATTTCAACTTTTATTCATATTTTCAAGGTAATTTATATATATATTATACTTGTAATACTAAGCATTTGCCAATTGTAAAGATATGAAATAGATATATAACCACAATAAAAAACAAATTGCAATCATAATGTATTGAATAGATACATTTTACCTATTTACTATACTGGTATTAATGTTGAAAAACTTTCTTGGGAATGTGACACTATTTATATATATCATAATTTGATTGTATTAAACAAATACACATTTGAAAAGGTATTTTATGCTACATGCATGCAACCTTCATCCTTTATATTTATTCAATGTGTTTAATAACTCTTCAGCTTCCTCTGAAGTTTTAACTCTAATTAGTACAGGTGCTGGGGGTGGTTTAGCTTCAGGGCTAGGAATACAAACCATCATAACATTGTTTTTGCCCATAAGTTGCATTGGTATAGCAGAACTTAAAATTAAGTTCAGCAACACATTTCCCAAATTAGTGTTGGCTCGCACCAACAACTGATGCTTCTCACTATCTTGAATTTTTTTAATGTAGAGTGTACCTACACCTTTATCCACAAAGTTGCCATCTTTTTTAATAAAAATTTTACAGCGTTTATCAAACACACTATTTTCCTCAACTATTGGGGTAAACTCTACTTTTGGTGGTTCATCCTCATCTTCATTATTTTCATTAGTTTTTTCAGAACTTGCTGCTACTTGAGTATTGGAATTGAAGCTAAAAGGCTTATTATCTATTCCAAATGAAAATGGTTTCCCATTTGTGTTTTGATTAGAATTGCTTGTAGCAAATGGAGATGTGGTTGTACTAGTACTTTGAGTTGAACTTACACCAAATGTGAATCCTGAACTGGTTGTATTAGTACCTGGGGATGATGTAAAACCAAAAGAGAAATTTGGTGATTGTGTGTTTTGTATACCAAATATAGATTTTGGTGTACTGGAAGAGGTTACATTAGTAGTTGTATTTACATTGTTGGTAGGTGTGGATAAACTTTTAATAGATGATTCCTCATTTGGGGATTTGTTCGGTACATTGTCATTTGTACAGTTCTCCTCTTCTTTTTTGTCTTTTTCATATTCTTCTTGAATTCTTTTCAAGTGATTTTCATATCCTTTAAATATCGGTGTAAGTATACACAGCGGAGATTCCTCTACATGTTTTTTGATCCAATCTGAAACTGATTCATTCAATCCTTTTAACTTACTATAATAAGTTAACTTGCTTTTGTTAGTTTTATCATTCACTTTATCCAAATTTGTGTTTGTGTCTTTATTTTTACTTTTAGATTCAGAAGGTGCTGCAAAGTTTGATGTTGGAGCTGAAGTACTTGAGAGCGGCTGTGCTTGAAACATGGATGAACTGCTTGAAGTAAAAGGTGATTTATTGTTATTGGAACTTGAAGGAGCTGTTCCAAATATTGTTGATGCTACTGGTGGGTTGGATACTTCTGAAGACTTAGAATTAAAGCTTGCTGTGAAAACTGAAGCAGCTGGTGCTTTGAAGGGGCTGTCATTTTGTGAAACTGAATCTGTTTTAGATGCAGAAAAAATTGATGTAGATGGGCTTGATGTGGTTGCTCCAAAGACAGATGTTGATTCTGTTGTAAGCTTCCCAAATATTGGCTTAGTAACATTTGTAGTTGTAGCAGGAGCAAAAATGCTATTACTTGATATATTACCAAAAGGATTACTAGAAATAGAAGCTGTTGTAGTTGTGGCAGTAGCATTCGTCTTAGTGCCATTTGTTAAATTTGCTAGAAAATCGAATGATGAAGGCTGAGTTTTATTGAACCCACCAAATCCACTAAAGACGGGTTTTTTAGCCTGTAAATAAACAATATTAATGTGAAATGACAAATAACACATACAGTCTTTGAAAGTATAATATTAAAGGTAAAAAAAAAACAAAACCAAGACATAAAACCAAATAATTATTTACATACTAATTTTACTAATACCTCATCTCCAACATTTTGGAATCTTCGTTTGGCAGTTCTTATAACACGCTTTTCAAGAACTTCTTCGGATGCAATTTTATACGAGCCCATTTCTTTTTCATCCTTCTCTTCTTGATCCCAATTGTCATGATTTAGGTCGGTGGTTGCTCGTCTCTTTATTGACATAATTCTTGTTGTTTCTTAACAAGATTCGAAGGATAGTATAAAATAAATCACGCTAGAACAAATACTGCGCCCATGTGTTCAAGTAATTTCAGTGTACAGCGCATCAACGTAGGAATCAATATGAACAAACTGACATCTCTTGTATTTTACCTTAACATGGTATACTTGTATATTGCTGTAAGTGTTTTACCTGTTATATTGGACTTTTTCAAACGTTAAAATCACCTGTAAGTGTAGAAAAATAATTTATATCCTCCGTGAAATATCATACTACAACAACCACAGTAACTGAAATCTTCGCTCGCACATATGTCATATCGTGATATCGTATATCTTTTGAAGAAGAAGCAAAGTCAAAGACTAATTCACCTAACAGATTATGCATTCGCCTCCTTTAAAATGTTCACGGATTTGTACATTGTAGTAATAAAACTTGTGCCATTAATATATGATACGAATGATATACGGAATAAATAATAAAAATTTAATAATCAATATGAAATTAATCAACGTATGTTATGATTGTTGTTTTTGATTAGAGAATATATTTTTTTTTCTAAGTGAATTTTAGTGAAGCGAACAGACGGTTCCAATGCCAATTGATAACCAATAACACCTGCTCATGGAGAACTATAAACCTTGAGGTCTTGCCGATCCTTGTTACCTTATCAAGTCTGATAAGTATTAAGTACTTCATTCAATAGGCCACATACGAAAAATCGCGGATAGGTACCATTCTTCGGCTTCATGATGATATTTAATTTACTGACTTTCTTTATTTTTTATTTTACTCATTTAATTTTTTGAAATTTACAGCGAGCAACCAGCGGATTTTGCCACAGAATACTTCCACTCCACACTGGCATTCTGTGAGGCCGTACTTGCCCGAATTAGCCAACCCATTCACATAACGCAACAGAAGAAGCTATTGCGTGGCCCTAGCCAAGTAGAATTCTAATTCTCAAAAATATGTAAATTTATTTATTAATTTTTCTCTCGTATCGTAACAGTTGAATTGAAAAAAAATTAATGTTCACTTATGTATATATATTTTATTGTATCTTAGGTATATATTATAATGTCGTCAATTTACAAATTAAGGTGAAAAATAAAATGCTATAATCTTGTGTTCTCGTAAATTCTACTACTATTTATCATTAATCAATTATTTTTACTGATCGATGGTAGTAGGTCTCCTAAATAAATCACGATTCCAACCACCTCTGGATAGGGTCCACTATCGATGTCGTTCCTAGCTGAGGTTAGTTAGAGCATTCATCTGAGTTGCCCTTGGATAGCTTGGATTGTATCGTGCCCCCCTCGCTAAATTTTCAAATGGTCCATCGTTCTTTAATAGTGGTCGTGCATCAGCACCAGCTTCCGTGTTTCTTTCGAGTCCGTGCGTCCATTACAATGAGTTACCCATTCCGACGAAACTGACAAAGCCACGGTTTAAACAAACTAAAATTACCAAAAAATCAATGTTATAATTTTCTAAGTTTGGCTATTATTATTATTATTACTTATAACAAAAAAAAAAAACTTGTAGTGATTTAGAAACTTTTAATAACTTTCAATAACTACTATGGTTGTTACTAACAGTACCTACTGTTTGAACTAGGTACCCACTGTTCGTTTAACTTTATTCCAAGTGTTGACTTATGTATCAACGTATATTGACATTTATTACAATGGAACAAGATTCATATTACATTGGAATGTTTAACATTGGAAAAATTTCAATTTTAGAGACAAAGATTTTTGTGTAGTTCACGAGTTGTCATACTTTGTTCTTGATGTAACAATTACTTTGGAGTTCTGTATAAATTCAAGATACGCTATAAACAAATAATTTATTTTGTTTTACAATTTTTAGTTTTTAAATTTTGTATGAAGGATGCCTTATTTCCAAAATATTATAAAAAGTATTTAACTAGTGTTTCCGTGTACTTAACATTTAGATTTACTGTTTCCTTTTTAGTTTTATTGTTACACTGTATTTGCGAAACAAGAGTTAAGTTTTTCTATTAGATTTTTTTGTTATTTTCTTACATTACTTTACGTATAATTTCAAGACTGATGTCCTAATTATATGGTGCGAAATTTAGTTTTAATTTACGTGTTGTAAATTTATATGTTAACATGGAAGTGTCTAATGAAATAAAGGAAGATATTCGCAAAACTCAGTCAGACTTGAAAAATGCTATCAGACTTCATCAGGTGAGTAGTTTTTACGAATTTTGAATTTCAAACTTTATTTTAAATTTTCTTTAGCTGTGTATTTTTATTGATAGTATAATCCAAGTGTTAAACTTGTATAAAATATTTATTTTTTAACTTACAGATTTGGGTTGCGCGTCTCCAAGAAGATGAAGATGTGCGTTGTGTTTTTAACAATATTTTTCGTTTATTAAAATAACATTTCGGTTGTAATATTTTATGAACCTGCTTAAATTTATTGCTTCCAGAACTTGCACCTGAAGTCCAAAGTTAAAGAAGCTGAAAAAGAAATAATTGCAATAGGCCAAAACCAAGTAGGTGTCTCAAAATAAAAATGTGGATATTTTTCTTGAAAACTTGTCTAAAAGTATTTGCAATTAATCCAAAAATCTATTAGGTTTAGTAATAATGTTTAAATAATTATGTGTTCAATACTTTTTTATATTTCAGAAATTAGTGGTTGAGAGATTGAGAAAAGAATTAGAACTGTATCAACAGAGGCTCAAATCAAGAAATAAGCAAGTTAGTTTAGAAAATGAAACCCGTTACATAGCTCAGCAATTACGGGATCACCAGATACAGTACCGCAATAGAAACAGGTCCATATCATTATTGAAACCCTCAGTACTCAATGAAATATTAATCAAAGCTGAAAACACAGATGATATAAATAATGTTTCTGATTCAGAAAATGAAATAAAATCTTTTACTGAGAAAGAGAACTCAAATGTAAGTGAGACCGATGATAAAGACAAATATCAAAGAAGTTTCTCTCATTTTCCTCATAATGTAAATGATGGCAACAGTTTTACAAATGCACTTAACAAGGCCAAGGAAGCATTCATGTATGTACATATATTTTACATATTATATATAATTATAAAATTCAATTTAAGTTTTTTACATAGAATGATTTGTATATGTTTATTTATATATGATAATGTTTGAATTTTATGTGGAATAAATTAATTACAGATATGATATTATATGACAGATCTTTATTATATAATTTAAAAAAGTTTTGTCCTGTGACCATGAATGCTATAAAGGTTCTGAAATGGAGGAATTAAAATTAAAAATAAACGCAATATGTCCATAAAAATTTATATCATTTATAATTTTAACAAGTTTTAACTAAACCCTAAAATGTTATTGTAGATATAGAAGTTTTAAAATTGCCTGGAATTGATTTAACTTACTGGAACTCCATAAATAGTCATTTATCATTTACTTTGTGTTGTCTATTTTACAGTGTATCCTTGTTCAAAGAATATATTGAGCCTTTTCATGAGAATATTGTGACCAACTTGATTATCGCATTATTTATTAAATCATGGTCAGTACTCAATAGAAATAAACATAAAAACTAAAAAATGGTAATTGTCAGTTACTACATTCTTTCTGAAAAGGTACTAGATTACGGATACAATTTTAAGGGTTCCATACACAAATGTTAAAACAAGGCCCTGTTGCTAAGACTCCGCTGTTTGTCTGTTTTTCTGTGTCTGTCACCAGGCTGTATCTCATGAACCTTGATAGTTAGACAGTTAAAATTTTCACAGATGATGAATTTCTGTTGCCGCTATTAAAACAAAGACTAAAAAACAATAAAACATTTAAGTGGGGCTCTCTTACAATAGAAATGATTTTTGCTCTTTTTATAGATAATGATACGGAACCCTTCGTGCGCGAGTCCGACTTGTACTTGGCTGGTTTTTTAAATTAATGAAATAAGTAATGATTCCTTTTACTGCAGAGGTACTAAGGTTGAACAACAAGAAGAATGGCAAGAACATAGATCAGATTCGGAATCATCACAAGGCCCCCAGCCATCTCCTACACCATCACCTCCGCCGTTGCCAGGGCCTGGAGAGCCAGTATCTAAAGAAATTTTCTTAAGGTATATTTCAATTTATTGAATAAATTGGTAAAGATCGCAAGGACGCGTTGGACGAAAGCCGCTACCGGCCGGTCGAAGTGGAAGTAAATGGGGGAGGTCTTTGTTTTGTATTTAACTAAATTTGCTTTTTAAATTTTTGAAGCATATTGTAAAGCCATGGGTCATTAACTGTTTGATTATATCTTCCTGGACTTTTTCCCATATTAATCAGTTGTTGTGTTGCTTAGTTATTAAGGTAATTTTTAAAATTTTCAGATTAATAGGCCTGATTACACATGCTCAGAAGGAACTGTTGGAAAAGAAAAGAAATGAACGTCGTAAAAGAGCCACCACTAGTACAAATAGGAATGATTTTCTTTATGGAAATTTTGAAATGATGCCTGTAATTATTTTTAAATATTATTAAATTTAATTTCTACATTTTAGTTTGTAACTGTTTGTTAAAATTGGCTTTAATGGACAATCTGTGTAACAATCTTCACCTAAATGAGGAAGGTTATGGGTTATCTGATTGTGGAGATTCACTAATAGGGTTTTAACTGTTTTTTTTTAATTGTACAAGATAGTGTATCACATAATTAAAACTTTCGTGAGACATTATTAATGTAATAATAAGACAAATAATCCCACTCACCCTGATGAAGGACTTCTGATGGGTTCAAAACTAGTCTGTGCGTATACCGGTTTAACATGAGTTTAGCCATCTATCATGAATCAATACGTTAAAGTTATGTAACAGTGTTTACACAAATCTCCCAACACTAGTTTATCTAGTGTGGCAAGGATATTAAATGCTGTAGATATATAATATGCTGGACGAAATATGTTATCTTAATCACTTAGAAACATACTTCATATTGCGATAGTTAACGGCGACGATATATTGATGGACTCAAACAGGCTGAAATGATGTTGATGATGGTGACGGTTTTATTTAGTGTGAAAAGTTGTCAAATGAGTAAGTGAACACCATGGCCCATGTACATCTCTACCACATCTGATGGCTTGCAGATGCGACTACCTTTAAAAGGGTGGGCCAGGGCTACCTCACTAAGCAGACGAAACGCGATAGTATAACACTTTTTCTTCACGCCAGCCTTCTGTGAGGCAATAGTACTTATCTGGACGGACCTGCCCATTCTTGCAAAAGTGAAAACAGTTGCGTAGCCCTACCACAGTCAAAGGGTCACTAGGCACAAATGTATTGATAATATTTTGAATGTAAGAAACCAAAAATCCTGATAATGATTTTTATGACACAGATCCATTGGCTGTTGTGTATATTATGATTAAGCATTGCAAATCAATTTTCAGAAGCGCAAAAAGTATAATCAGTTTCCATATCTTCAGTCACACAGCGACCCTCCACAAACCCGTTCAGCAAAGTTGAGGAAACAACAGGTAAGGGGACGATAAATAATTTTCTATATTAAAGTTTTGCTTTTTGCTTACTTCGCTATACCAAATATTATTGAAATATCAGGTGTATAATTTTGCTTGCCTAATAGCATTCTATAACAACATTTATGTTGACAAAAAATAGTTTATTAGTGTAGGTATATAATCAATATGGTCATTTAAATCAGTTCATCATCTATATTACTCCTTTGTGTAACAGCAAATGTTAGTTCTTCAGTAAATTTATGAATGCTATTTTATAAAAAAAATAGAGTTAAATATGACAAGTGATAAAAGTTCTTTAATTCGTATTTAGAAGAGACAAACTAGCAAGGGGCCCGATGTAATACCGTCTTCCTTGAAAATTCGTAACATCCTAGGCGAAACACAAAAGTAGAAATGCATATAGTACTTCCCGGGGCTTTTGAATAGGAATATTCATGCTGCAGTGGTAATTGCTGCATAACTACTATAACATGAACTGACTTGCTGTAATCTGATTGCTGACTCATTGTAGATTAATTTTTACAGAATCAAAACAAATCGTCTCGCGAAGGATCGCCATCAGGATCCTCCTCGGAAAATAAAGGTAATATTTTAAATTAAATTTTTTTTTCATGTGTCTTCTATGAGGTCGTGGTAGTTCCCCGAATGGACCTGCCATTTTGTGCAACAGCGAATACTGTTGCGTAATCAGGGTTAAGGGTTGACTGGTAGAGAATGCCATTAGGCATCAAGTCCGCTCATTGTAGCCTTTAGCTTATGATGTAGAAATAAAGCTTAGATAAATAAATAACCCTACCACAGTTAAGTCTTTCTATTAAAAATATTTCGTTCATAAGATTTGTAAGCATAAATACCATTCCAATAAGACATATTTGTTATAAAAGTAATTTGTCTTACTATTCGTTAATAAGACTTGCAACATCAAACATGCCTTTTAGTTTTAATCACATTAAATTTTTTTTATTTACCTTTTGTTACAAATCGCTTTTATTGGAGCTAGGTCTTAAGATCCATTTTTCTTAAATGGTTATATTATATATGGGTAGGTATTTTAGTCACTCATAAGAACTATTATTTCGATTAGGTTGGGGTAACAACAAGCCAACTTGGATAACGGCGTTACCGGCCGGTCTATCGGTGGAACCAGTGTATTCTCAGACCAAGAAAGTCTGCCATGGCTGTGGAAGGAATGGTAAATATTTTATTTTTTAAACAATATTTTAGATAGCATCTAGCCCACAGGGAGGTAAGTAGAGCTGGCTCATTAGTTTAAAGACCTCTTTTAAAATAATGAGCTAGCTCTACCTGAAAGCCGGTGGTCCTCACAACACATAAAAAAAAATAGTCGAATTGAGGAACCTCCTTCTTCTTTGAAGTCGGTTAAAAATTTGTTCAATGTGTCAGTTTTATTCGTCATCTCATGTCTTCATCACACCGGAGAGTGTTAAGTATTTCTCAGAATCTCTGCCGCCTTCCGCCGCAGACGTGCTGTCGCCACACCCACCTTATGCCTTTAGAAAAATAACAAAAAAATTTTTCCCATCACTATCACATCTATCACACCGGAGTTCATTAGTATTCGATCTATGTCCCTTTCCGCCGCAGACGTGCTGTCGCCACACCCACCTTATGCCTTTAGAAAAATAACAAAAAAAATTTTCCCATCACTATCACATCTATTACACCGGAGTTCATTAGTATTCGATCTATGTCCCTTTCCGCCGCAGACGTGCTGTCGCCACACCCACCTTATGCCTTTAGAAAAATAACAAAAAAAAATTTCCCATCACTATCACATCTATCACACCGGAGTTCATTAGTATTCGATCTATGTCCCTTTCCGCCGTAGACGTGCTGTCGCCACACCCACCTTATGCCTTTAGAAAAATAACAACAAAGTAATTTGTCCCATCACTATCACATCTATCACACCGGAGTTCATTAGTATTCGATCGCTGTCCCTTTCCGCCGCAGACGTGCCGTCGCTGCTGGTGTGGTGCACCTCGTGCTCGGTGTGGCAGCACACCGGCTGCGGGCCGGGCGGGCGCTGCGCCGGCTGCCGCTCGCCGCTGCCCGACCCCGCCGCCTGTCCGCCCGCGCAGCACGCGCTGTTGAGAGGTACGCCGCCGACGGTGTGGCCCGACGCGCTCGCGCTCGGCGGCGCCCCGCCCGCCGCCTGGCCGCGCGCTCTAATGTCCGCAGGTACGGTCGCCTCGCCAACGCTGTGGCCACACATCCCACGTCGACGACGGTGCGGCCACACCGTCGCTCGTTTGGATACGAACTGCCTTCACACACTCCTTCGGCAATTTTTAAATGTTCGGACATACATCGCCTAAGGTGTGGCCGCACATTTAGACGCTTGGAAATACATCGCCGAAAGTGTGGCCGCACTTTTAGACTTTTGGAGATATATCGCCGAAAGTGTGGCCGCACTTTCAGAGGTTTGGAGATACATCGCTGAGGGTGTGGCCACAGTTTCTGATCTTTGAACATACATTCTAGGCATTCTAGTTTATGTTTGGACATACATTGTCGAAAGAGTAGCTACACTTACAGACGTTTAGAGATAGAGAGACGTTTAGAATAGGTTGGGGACAAAGTTTCTTCGCATTTTATATGAAAATTCAAAACATTTTTTAACAAAGTTTATTTAAATTTAACTAAAGTATGTAGGTGCCATTTTATTCGATAACTTTCTGCAATCTTGTAGGTAGGGACATGATCCCATTTCTATAGAAATTCTGGAGCTTCTGAACAAAAAACCGCGACAAGTGGTTTTGGCAGTCCTCTCGTGATGTTAATATGACACTGCCTAAAGAATTCTGAAGAGTCGAAAAAAATGGAAATATGAAGGTTTGGATGCATTAATTTAAAAGTTAATTTCCCAGCCAAATTCTTAATTTTTGCTGAGTGGCTAAAGATGTGTGAGGTCTAGCGTTAACATGATGAAAAACCACACCCCTTCTGTTGATTAATTTCGGCCGCTTTCTCTAAACCTCTTGCTTTACTCTCATCAGTACTTCGCAGAAGAGTTCAGAATCGATGGTCTTGCCTGGCGGTAACAGCTCATAATGAATAATGCCCTTACAATCCCTCCATACACACAGTATTACCTTGTTGCGAGATAAACCGGGTTTCGCCGGTCTGTGAAGCCTGACCAGCCCTTGACCACGACCTTTTTCGCACGTTCTTGTCGTACGTGATCCACTTTTCGCCACCTGTTATCAGCTTTTTCAAAAATGGTTCGGTTTCATTACGTCGTAATAAAGAATCACAAATGAGTACACAGTTCATTAGGATTCTTTCAGCGAGATCATGAGGCACCCATATATCGAGCTTTTTTTTGTACCCAGCCTGTTCTAATGCGCCAAAACTATTTTGTCAATTCCCAGTTCTTCAGCTACATCGCTACCGATACGCCGATCTTAGTCCACTGTTTCAAAAATGGCATCCATTTTTAACAGAGCGCCCAGAGCGAGGTCTATCTTTGACATCAAAATTTCCGGATTGAAAACGTTTAAACCAAATTTTTGCTACTGTCACAGACACTGCACCTCAGGTCCATTTTACCTTTTTTAAAATGTATCGAATTTCTTCATTGAAATCTTAATCTTAACAGTAAGGAAAACACATGAAAATCACACATTTTCCTAATTTGAATTTGGAATTATCTTTTTTTAAAATTTAATCTTTTTAATAATACTAATCAGCCAGATACAAATGGTATAGCCAAAGAGATTATATTATAAGTTTATACATACTATTTGCGAAAAGAGTTTTTCCCCAACCTAATACATCGCCAAAGGTGTCGTCACACTTTCAGATTTTGGACATATATTTTTAAAGGCGTGACCACACTTTCAGATGTTGCGACCGTCAGCGATGTAAGCATAAGAATAACCAATATATCGCTGTAGGTAGTGGCCGTCTCAGATTTAGCTTCAAGTGCACATTTTGAATAGTAGTATTTTCGGCACTTGATGTGGCCACACGCGGCCCCACTGCAGATTGGCGGACTTCAAATATTTGCGAAAAATTTTTTTTTTCGAAAATATGGTATATGAATATGTTTCCTCATGATGTTTTCTTTCAACGCTGAGCACGTTATAATTTAGCACTTGAAATTAACAATTTCATTGGTGCCGGCAGTGAGGATCGAACTCTGATTGCTACTGTATATTGACCGGACGGTAACAAATTTTTAATTTGGCAAGGATATTGGCTAACCCTAAATTGATATTTAAGTAACCTTTGTTACCTGTCTCCATACATTAACATTCAAAAAACAAAACAATAACAATATGTTACTATTTAAACGACATCACGCTGAATGATAACTTTCAGATAAGCTGGAAGAGCGGAAACGTTTGCAGGAGAAAAACATAGAGCTCTGCGTGGAACTGCGCAAACTGGAAGCGCGGGCGGCCACGCTGAAGGAGAACTTGGACGAGCACAATGCCGAGAAGCGACAACTCCTCGCCGACCAGATCAAGACGCAGAGAAACCTCCAGAAGCTTCTGGACTTCATAAGTCAATTTAAAGAGACGTCCATCAGCATCCGTTCCACATCGGTTAGTGAATCTGGGAGTGAATTGAGTAAAAGCAATGAGGAATGAAGTGGTAAGTCATTTATTTAGTAAAGTGATTTCCTGTTTTTTTTTGCACATAAATTTTTGTAAAATTACGTTCTGCTTTCTTGTCCAATGATGAACATTAATAGTTATTGAAATTTATTTTTGTACTTTGTATGTGCAATACTGTTAATTTGCAGTTTCAATCAAAAAATATATAAATGAACTTAAAGTGGGAGATTGAACAACCAACAACTTAAGAAAATGCTATTTTGAAGAGTAAGCATTTTCTACTTGTCATTTGATTGATTTTGGAAATAAAAAAATAAAGAAAGATGATCGTGACACGAACCGCCGCCTTCTGTTTCGGGGCCGCCCGATTACCGACGGAGCTATTAACATTTTTTTTCGGCGAAATTTACCGTCATATTCAAATGATATTTTTCTAAAAATTAAACCTAGCTAGATTGGTCGCCCCCGAATCTACGCACATACAACATATCATGAAAATCGCTGCCGTGGAGCCGTTTCCGAGATTGCAATTATATATATATATATATATATATATATTTCGGAGAATGAAGTAGATTTATTTCTTGTACGATATCGTGGCTGTCGATAATGTCGTTATTCGTAAGAATCAGTGTGCACAACCGGCGCGGTCGATCGCCAGACATTAGTGATCGTTAATTCACTTGGGTCGGACCGAACTACTCACTCAGGGATATGATCGTACGCCATTCACATTCGCTCGTTCACTCTTTCTTACAACATACACGGCGCTAGTAGTCGAAGAGTACTAAGAGGCTACCATAGATGGAACCACTTGTATGAAATAACATTATTTCGGAACTTCTCTCACATATATATATATATATCTTTTAAGTTGTCCTTTCATCCTCCGAAAGAAGAGAGATAACAAGAGTAATTAAAGTAAAGAACCATTGGGTCAGTGAGTTTTTTTTTTAATAATAATAAGATGCTTCATAAATAAAATTATTGTTTAATTTTAAATCTTATCATGTTATTTTAATGCAAACTATTGAATAACCCAATCGAAATTTTGAAGGCAATAGTTTTTATGTTGTTATTCAAGCTCATATGTAACTTTTTTTCATGGCACTAGATCCAAAGATAATCTTACATTTGCAAGTCAAAACTGTTCTTTGCATATTGTAAGTTAGATATTAAAAAAATGCAGATAAATGGCATTACTTATTGTTCTATTCCGTATTTGCTTTGTTAATTAATATGGTGTTTGTTATTGGACAAGTAAGATTAACCTAACCATTATGTATATTCTTCACGCGGCTCTTAAGCGTAAAAATCTCATTATAGTACAGGTTCTTATGAAATGTTGAAGTAAGATAATATGTTTTCACATATAAATATGTAAATGAGTTTTTGTTCTCTTACAGTTTGCAAGATTTTAGAGTGTATCTCTCCGTTGAGGCTGTGTGTGAAGTGTTAAGTTTTTCTTCAGGGAATTAATTTAAAAAATAAAATTTTTGATTATTATGGTTTGTTACCTTTATATCCTTGTTTGGAGAAAACTGCGTAGTGAACTTTTACGTTCTGTCGATTAATTACGTGTTTTGATTCTCTTTATCGTTTTGCGTATTTTCTTAAATTTTTAACTTGATGCATCTATCCTAAACATATCTCGAATTAGTTGTTGCGAGGTGCGAACACCTTACATGACTGTTCGGTTGTATCAACCAATCTTAGTTAAACATGTCTAATGTACTTAGTTTATAATTAGGACATTTTACAAGGATTAAAACTGTTTTGTAGTGGAACTTTTATACTTTAAATTGAAGTTAACATATAAAGTAGAAAAGAAGCTAAAAAAATAATATATTTTACACCGCCCATATCGGTTGTAAATGTTGAAATACGTACAACTTTTGTAACTTTAGTACATAGAATTAGACATTTATCGAAATGCGTAAGTTTCTCAAAAACAGAAAAATATTTATTTAAGTTTTTAACTAAAAAGGGATCACATGTTATGTAAACTTAAATGAAATGAATTAAGAGTGTATCTTAAATATAACTATTTAGTTATCTCATGTGTTATATAAAATGTTTATAGGCGCACATTGCCTACTGAAATACATTCTATATTATTTTATTCCACAAATTACTGTTTCAGATCCATGTGATTATCAAATACAGCTAGGGAAATAAAATATGATATTAAAATCATTATGGTACAATACGAAATTATCATTAATCGAGTAGGGAATAATTTAAAGTGTGTATTTTTAAAATGTTTTCAAAATTAGTCTCAAAGATTTGAATATTTTGTACTGGCAATATTGGTTTATAGGATTTTGAAAGTATTTTGAGTCGTTATAAATCAATTATTCCTAGTTTTAATTAAATACAAAAACGCTTACAATGTTGGATAATATAGGGACATTTTTTTATTAAATCATTAAAACAGTGAATTAAGTATTAACCGATGCTAGCACACTGTTGGCTTCAGTTTTTTTGTTTTAAATTTTACAAAAAATATGTTTTTGTCACAGGTTAACTTAAAATTGTAATGGGTACGTACTTAATGCTTAAAATGTATATGGTGAATCCGTTCTCTCCTCTCTAATATTTCAACTAAACAGCTACATCTACATTTACTTTTCCTTTGTTAGAGTCTCAAAGCAGTATCTGTTATTTCGTGTCGGAAAATACTAGCTTAAAAGAAGGACTAGGTTTAACACCGAAGTTACTAATGCGAGGAGAAAGTATTTGTACTCTTGCTATTTATCTGACGTGTCAATATTGAAATATTAGTGACGAAATCATCACACTGTCATGTCCCACTCAAGAAATGTATCAGAAACAATATTTTAAGTTCTTTGTAGTAATGAAAAAATTTCTTTGTTACTTTTTGCATCCGCCCGTTTTAGCTCGTAATAGAGAAATATATGTGATGCCCATTAAAATCAATTTTATTTAATTAGAGTTAAGGTTTATAAGATGTCAAATATTATTAGGTGTATTATTTTATTTTCTACATAGTAATTATAGAAATGTATGTTTTTAAATTGTCAAGTTTATACCAAATATCAAATTATCAACTTTGTTTTTTCCTTTGTTTTGAAACTGAGTAACGTTTTTGAATGGTTGCTATTGTATATTGTATGGTTTTATTGAATATTATACCGAAGAAGTATAAATCTGTTTTGTTTACTTGGAAATTGCGAGTAATTTAGTTCTTCAATTAATTATTCTTTGAATGTGGATTCGGTTGTTGAAAAATGCCAAAATATTCCTATATCGTGTTTTCCATTGTCTGGAATATCGCTGTAAATATTGCCTTAAGTATTTTTGTCTCGCTTCTGAGATTCTTGTTTTGTCGTTGAAAATATAAATGAATTTGTAATAAATTTGCTATGTGATATCGAAAGAGGCGTCTCAACACATAGTCGACGGCGTTTATATTAATTGGAAGATAGATAAAATATCGTGCGAGACTACATGACGATAATAGTCGACTATGTATTGGCGCCAAAAGTTTTCCTTGGTTATGTTTTTGTATGAAACCGGATTTGTAAATAAAATTCATCAAATATTTTTCTTTCATTCCATTTAATTTGTTCCTCACACAGCAGTACATACACTGGTCTATTGGTCGTTTGTCAACTAACAATCCCTTGGACGAAAGTTAAGTATATTTAAATTGACGGACAAGTGATTATAGAAAACGTCTTGATCGTCCAACGGTTGAAGAAACAAAGCTCTTTTCTAGCCAACACCTCTACACCAGTTCCATTATCTTCTTGCCAACGTCCACATCCTTGTGCAGCTGCTTTATGCTGCTCTCTAGCAGAACGCACTCGTGGTGGTACAGATCCGTGTACGTTCGCATCTCGCTTACACCCTTCGGGCCGACGTCCACCAGGCCCGAAAAGAACGATGTGCCGAAGTCGTTGTTCTCGACGAGGGCGTTGACCTGCACAGTTTCCCCATTTAGGGCTTCCAGCACGCTGTTCACGAATATAGAGACAGCGTAAGCGACTGACAGCGTGGGCGAGTGGCTCTCAGAACGCTCGGGCGTTGCGTTCCTAAGTATTGCCGTCAGCTCTTGGCTCTTCTCCTCCGTCAGCTTGCTCCTGGGGGTGGCTTGCGAGAAAAGAGGCACCATAGTCTCCCTGGAGTGTCCACCGATGACCGGCACGATGCATTCGCTTTGTATGAGAGCGCTCTCCCTTGCGTACAGGGTCTGCGCTTGTAGTGCGTCGACGCCCGTTATACCGAACAGCTTGTTCGGATCGTGGGAGGCCTGGTTCCTCATGGCCTCGGCGGCTAGCGGGACCAAGGTGTTGATCGGTTCCGTCACTATCCCGAAGAATGGCAGGGGCGACACTAGAGACACGGATGACGCGACCTCCTTAATGAAGTCTGCGTTCTTCGACAGTATCGACCTGTTCACGTTGTCAGAGTGCTGAGGAATTCCCCCAGCGGCGATAACTAGGTTGGAGCCCTGCAGAGCCTCGTCTAATGTATCCTCCCCGACGTAACCTTTCACTTTGGATTTCGAGGGGATATGAGATAAATCTAGGACTACCCCGGGCGTATACTGTAGAGTGTCGTGCAAAACCAGTTTGGAAATGGAGGGATTGGTTCGCAGGAGCAAGGAAATGGTCTGTCCTATTTCGCTTCCAGCGCCTGTGATCGCGACTTGATAATTACGATAAGAGACAGAGCAGAGGTGTTTGAAACGCATCAAATTTTGCCTTGCTTGCAGCATTTTCGAAGTAAATTATGGAATAAACAAATACGTTACAATAAATTTTCTATAAAAGATCGCAAAAGAATTTGACAAGTGACGTTAATTAGATTTTTTAGATATTAATTCATACGTTAAGTACGCAATAGTCACCATCGGAATAATGATTTTTAAATAACGTAATCGATTATTGAAAAAATTGCAAAATTAAATAATATTTTGGGAAATACAGTATATTTTCATAATAATGTGCACTAAAAGTTATTGAAACAATAAACTTGTAATTGAAAGTAAATACTTTTTTACTTTTGATAGAAGTGTGGCTGTTGTTTGCTAGTGTCTTAACAGCAGTTTCAAATTTATGTGTCATCCATAATGCTATAAATTGTTCAAGTAATACGATCTGTAATAATGCTTGTTGCAAAATTAAACACATTGAAAGTTCTGTTAAAAAAAGTACAAGTAACATTTCAGCGAAATATTCAAGTGTCGGTCATAGGGGCGGCGTCTGATGTGGGGTCCAACTTGGCTTTGCTCTTGAAGCAAAACAATAAAATATCGAGATTGCAACTGTACGATAATAACGAGACGGTCAATGCACTCGGATTGGACCTGGGCTGTTTGCCCGGTGGGCCTTTCGTTTCGACGTTTGCGGGTGCGTGTATGCTGCTGCCGTCATTAAGATTTTCGGATCTCGTTGTGATGGTCGACAGGGTGCATAGGAAGCCGGGGTACACTCGCGAGCAAATGATTTTCTGTAACGCACCGATGGTCCAAAGGCTCTGCAGAGCGCTGGCCGAGATGAATTCGAATGCGTTCCTAGCGATCGGCACCAGCCCCCTGAACTCGATTGTACCTTTCGCTAGCACGCTTTTACATAAGTACGGCACGTACGATCCCTTCAAAGTTTTCGGCGTGACCCACTTGGATCTAGCGCGGGGAAGAGCGCTCACGGCGAGCGCGCTACAAGTCGACTCGTCTGAAATACATGTGCCCATAATCGGTGGCCACTCTGATGAGACGATTGTGCCCCTGTTTTCGAACATAACACCGAGCAACTGTTCTGTTGACGAGCGTCAGGCGGACTTCCTCACCAGGCTTTTAAGGAAGGCCGGAACGGAGGTTATCAATAAGAAGATGGGTAGTGATTCGGCAACTTTGTCCGTGGCCTGGTCGATAAATGAGTTCGTCGACTGCATCCTCGACGCGCTGCGCGGTGCCGAGGTGACAGTGAACGCTTTCACGGCCAATCCCCATTTCGGCACGAAATATTTCTCGGGACCAACCGTCGTCGGCCCGAACGGCATACTGCAACCGTGCTACGAGTTTACGTTGTCCAATTACGAAAATAAACTCCTGAATCGAGCACTGCCTATGATAAATAGAGATGTATCGCAGGGAGAAGAATATGTTGATGTGTTTGAAAGCTTCTCTAAGAAAATTTAGTTCTTTCTTCTCTCAAACTTACCACAACATTTGTTATATATGCATTGAGAATCATGTTAATTAATTCTGTAATTATAGTTTGTGAAAGTGACTATTAAGTATTAATTAAATTATAAATAGTTAAATTAAATCTATAAATATTTGCCAATAGGGCCAAGTTTATTAAAGTTTTGGATGTTTACTATAACAAGGTTTTATGAAATTTAATTTAAACGAGGTCAAGTGGAATTTTATTTACTAGTTAAGTACCTCGAATTGCGGATATTAATTTAATTCACAGTGATCTCAATTCTTATTATTTTACAATTTTCATTAAGTGATTCAAGCTTTGATTATTTATTTTATGTTAGTGTAAAGACATACAGATGATAAATAATACAAAACCTAGTTATTAGGTTTTATTAAGCAGAAAATATATACATACGTAAGAACAATTGTGTCAGTAATAAGGAACATCCAAAAGAATAATTTTAAAAACAATGTTTACATTTATGGCGAATGGCCAGTATTATATCATTTACCCTATCGAGTAAAAGTAACAATCTTAAATATTCTGGCCGCTTTTTAGTTCTAACCGGTCGCTCCATTGTCATTACTTCTACATTGTTCATTATCTTCTTCTCGTATATTTCCACTTGGCAGATCTATTTGATTATTATTTTCTTCAATTTCCATAGTATTTTCGATAAAGCCCGATGAATCTAGAGGCGCTAGATGTCTGTTAGATACCGTCTCTTCCCTTCCATCAGGTAAACGGACATATGAAGAGTCAGGATTTGATTGTAATAGCTCTTACCTCCTCGACTACAGGTGAATATTTTGAAGCTCGATTATGCTTTTTCATAAACACTGGCAACGGTGCAACATTACCATCAACCACGATGGTAATGTTGCACCGATTTCAGATCTTCGATTATGCCTGAACATTCTTTCGTGAGGTGTTACATTAGTAGCTGTAGAAAGTAATGATCTAATCGAATGCAATGACTGATCCAATACCCTCTCCCATTGGCTTATATCATATTTTTTTTGTTTTTAAAGCCAATTGCATTGTCTTCCACAACGTGCCATTAAATCGTTCCACCTGCCCATTTCCTTGCGGGTTATACGATGTTGTTCGACTTGTAGCTATACCTTTACTTTGTAAAAAGATTTTTAAATCATGGGACATAAATGATGATCCTCTATCAGAATGTATGTATGAGGGTATGCCGAATATAGAAAATAAGTTTGTCAAACACTTAATAATACTCGATGTAGATGTGTCTTCACAGGGGTATGCGAACGGAAATCTTGAATATTCGTCTATAATAGTGAGTAGATACTGATTTTTTGAACTTGTAGGTAGGGGTCCTTTAAAATCTATGTTTAATCTTTCAAATACACTTGTAGCTTTTATTAATATTCCACGGCTGTTGCAAAATTTAGGTTTTACTTCTGCACAGATTTTACAGCCACGTGTCATTTGTCGTATATTATCAATGCTGTATGTTAAGTTTTTAGATCGCACCCATTGAAACATTCGAGTGACTCCAGGATGATAAAGCGATTCATGTAAAGAAAATAGTTTAGATTCTGTATGAACAGATGCACACATTCGAGATAGTGCATCCGCTGCATCATTTTCTTTCCCATGTCGATATATAATGTCATATTTAAAACAAGAGAGCTCCAGGCGCCACCTCATAATCTTGTCATTTTTAATTTTACTATTATGCTTGGTGTTAAACATGAATGATAGCGATTTTTGATCAGTTATTAAACGAAATTCTTGTCCTATTAGAAAATGCCTCCACTTACGGACAGATTCTACAATGGCATATGCTTCTTTTTCAATTGCAGAGTGTTTTCTTTCACACTCCGTGAGTGATCTTGAAAAGAAAGCAACACGTCTCCCTTCCTGTGAAAGTGTCGCTCCGATTGCGAAATTTGATGCATCTGTTTCGACAGTGAATGGGATTTTGCTCTCAATGGCATGAACAGATGACTTAATTATTTCTTGTTTTAAACTTTCGAAAGCGTTTACTGCATTATTGTTCAATTGAAAACATTCCTACTGTCCTTCTTAACGAAGCAGCATCCGTTGGAATAGGCAAATTTTGTAGAGGTTTGATTCTTTCTAAATCTGGAGTGATCATTTTATTATTAATGTTATATCCAAGAATAGAAATACTTTTAATTGAAAATGTACATTTTGTCTCATTTATAGTAAGATTGTACTTTTTAACAACAGACATAAACTTCCCAAGATTATAGTCATGGTCTTCTTTATTCTTACCACATACGGTAACATCATCTAGATAGGCGAACGTAGATTGTAGATTTTCCGTTCGTATTATCCAGTCTATAGTTCTCTGAAAGCTACTTACACCATTAGTAACTCCAAATGGGATTCTACAAAATTGATATAAATTTCCGACTGCTTCAAAAGCAGTTAATGGTTTTTCCGTATCAAGGATCGGAATTTGGTGATACGCACTTTTTAAGTCAATCTTTGAGAATAATTCGTACTTAGCAATATCTTGTACAATTGTCTCTATATTTGGCAAAGGGTAAGCGTCTAAGTAAGTATATTTGTTGATAGTTTGTGAATAATCAATGCAAAGACGCTTTTTATGATTATCATTTTCTATTACAAGAACTTGAGCTCTCCATGGAGATCTGCTTTTTTCAATAATACCATTTAATAATAATTCCTGAATTTCATTAGCAATGAATTTTAAATCATCTTTAGAAAAACGTCTAGATTTAGTGACTATAGGTTTACAGATCGACGATAAGTTAGGAAAAATTGATACTGGAGGAATCGTAGCTGCGGTTACTCCGCAAATTTCAAGTTTTGCTCTTGGACTACCAAAATTTAATTGAAACTGTGCAATGTTGAGTTAATACATCATGACCAATAATAATATCCGCACATAGATGTTTTACAATAAGTAATTTTATATTTTTATAAAAGTGATTTCCTATGCTAATTGACGTAATACACAGGCCTTCTACATTCGATGTATAATTAGTCGTAGCCATTGTCACTTTCTCTGAACATTCTTCTTTTATTAGACAACAGCGATCAAAAAAACAAACTATTAATGTAGCTTCTAGAACTTCCTGAATCGATTAAAGCCTGAGCATTTACCCCCTTTATTTTTATAGTTACAATTGCTTTACCGAGGCATGCAGGTGATGCAGCTATGACAGAAGCTACAGCGTCCATGTCATCTATTTCCATTGCGGCATTTACAGATTTTTTTGAGTTACGACATGCTTTGGCCCAATGTCCCTTTTTATCAGATATTTGACAAATCGCATTCCTTGCAGGGCAATTTGAACGCAAGTGTATATTTCCGCCACAAAAAAAAACATTTCTTTCGATTGTATAAAGTTTTCTGATCAGCCGACGAAAACTCATGATTTTTAACATGAGTTTGTGATTGCGAAGCATTTATTGGATTGATATGATATTCTTGAGCAGTAGACTTCGCTAGCTCCAATGATACTGCTTTGTTATATGCTTCATCTAAAGAAAGTGATAAATTTTCTAATAATCTCTGTCTGATATTATTACATGAAATACCAGAAATGAAGGCGTCTCTTATATACTCTTCTTTATATTTTTCAGCAGACACTGATGTAAGTTTACATTCCAGACTTTGTAGTTTTAATTTATGTATAAACTGTTGAATCGTTTCCCCGTTTTCTTGTTTTGAGGTGATAAGCTTGTGTCTTGCAAAAATTATATTTTTTGGTTTGACGAATGCAAGCTCTAAATTATTGATCGCACCTTTGTAGCTAACACAATGACATATATATTCATAAACTTTTGATGATACATGATTAATCAGAAGTTGCAATCTTGATTTTTCATCTTTAACATCATTTATAGCCAAAAAATTTTCAAAAGTTATATACCAATGTCTCCATTCTTGTGCCGCGGTAGCAGATGACGAATCGGTTTCAAATTTCTCTGGTCTTAAAAATCTCTCCATACTTCTTGAGAATTATTTTATTGAATTGTTGATTCTCTCTGCTTAATAAATTGATAAATAATACAAAACCTAGTTATTAGGTTTTATTTAGCAGAAAATATATACATACGTAAGAACAATTGTGTCAGTAATAAGGAACATCCAAAAGAATAATTTTAAAAACAATGTTTACATTTATGGCGAATGGCCAGTATTATATCAACAGATAATTTCTAATGGCATATATATTTACAAGTCGACAGGAAAACAAAATGTATATAAATAATTCAATTTTAAAAATGACAGTGAAGAGGGAGTTTCATATGCTCAAGACACGTTTGAGTTTAATTTGCAGACAGAGCGATGCAAATAAAGACGTTAGAATGTTCTTCGACAATTGGCAATAGAGTCTACGTTCGCTTTGCGGTTTGCCCAGTTCAATATCGGACGAACGGTTTAGGTGACCCAGAGCAACCATCATGAGATCGGAGAATTGTTAAGTGCCACGACGTTCCCAATATTACAAACATACCATTTCAAAGTGTACGTAAAATTATTCCGAATGCATACTACATATCGAATATGTCGTCTTTGTCTTTAGCGTACTTATCTTCACTTTTATGACTTACCAGTAGGACTTTTTAGAGTCTCAGTACAAATTTTATTAGCGTTCAACAATTATTTTTCCGTTTTTTCGATGTCCTAAGTGCAAAATTCATATCAATGCCCAGTGTACGACGATAAGGTGACGTGTGCATTAAAAATGGAAGCTGTTTTTACGTGTTACGTTTTTACATATACGTTATTTTTTAATGTGCTACTAATTTTAATGACAAACTTCAATATGTAAATCTGCTCTTACAACTTTAACCTAAAACTGAAGTAAAATTGTTTAGGCAAACGCTTTCTCTGCCAAATAATGTCATTTGGTATTATTGCTTAGATATATGGATATTTTCACGATGTTTTCTGTCGCACGTGGTAAGCTTGTAAATCAGTACTCGAGATTTTATATTAAGTATATAATTAAAA